TATATATATATATATATATATATGTATATTCACATGTGAATAATATTTATATATGAATATAATATGTAATATTTACGAGTGAATATATGTCATATAATGTTTACATACGAATATATCAACTATGTATATATATGGGGTGGGTGAGTTGGTGGGATGAGTTGGGTGGGTGGTGAGGTGGGGTGGTTTAATGTTAATGGGGGTGGTAGTAGAAGTTGAATGTTATTTTTAAATTTTAAATTTAAAAAATACATTTTTTAAAAGAAAAGTTGGTGGAAAAAATGAATTGCCAATTAAATTCAATAACAAATTAGCAATCGGGTCAAATACCCATAGACCAATCACATTGCACAAAAAGTTCTCTCTTTTCTCACCAAATGCTTAACAATGGTAGCGTAGCGATCCCCCCAAGCGAGCGCTAGGGGGTGGTGTTCATGACCCCTTAGCGAGCCTAACGAGCATTGGTAATACCTCCACTCCGTTTAGCGTAGGTATCACCACTCCTTGTAGCCTTAATTCTCTTTATTTTTGTGATTACTAATTAGGCTAATTTTTTATTTATTTTTAAAATATTGAAAAAAAAAATCCAAAAGAACTGTTGGCATCGATGTGCAGAGATGGCAGGGAAAACATTTGAACCTGCTTGAAAAATATCGGATTCCTTTATCGCTTCAGGAACATGGGATTCAGATCCTTGAGTGTAAATCTCCTCAAAAGATTTCACAATTCATCGGCACGATCCATTCCTCCATCATTTGCCCATAAAAAACTGGTGTACCCTTTGATTCCTCGGTTGTACGATCGATCTTCCCCCTACCCTGAAAATCATAGCTTAAAGATCTCTAAGAGGTGGCATGTCGGTCATTCTCATCACCACCACGAGCAAACCAGTCAAGAAGGCGAGAGGATTTTCAGGCTCGGACTACTCTCCGATATTGGGTTAACTGCCGGCAAAGTATTGACGGGTTATTTGTCCGGTAGCACCGCCATCATCGCCGATGCTGCTCATTCTCTCTCCGATGTGGTAATATTTAAATTCAGTAATTATCATTGCTTACAATGTTCTGACTTTCATGTCCACATAATAACTGCCATGGGCAAAATCGATTTCAATTTTGTTGCAGCAAGTAGAGGTTACACCAAACATGATTCGCTTGCTATAATAGATCTTGAATTTGAAATTTGAAACTAATTTTGCTAAGAGTTAATTTTTTTGGGTTGTGTTATGTGGCATTGAATTGTTGTTAATGAGAGAGTAAAGCAAGTAATGGTTTTGATGTGATGCTGATGCAGGTGCTTAGTGGTGTTGCTTTGGTATCATTTAGAGCTTCAAGGGTTCCCAAGGACAAAGAACACCCATATGGTCACTTTTGATTTGTACCGACTCTCTACTCCTTTGATATATATAGATAAAGTTTATTTGTGTTGCCTGATTGATTGTGTTTTCAGTAACAAATAGTATTTCATGATGATATGTGTTTGAGATTCTGTAGTGGGATTAAGGATTTGAATAACAACATTAACATCTGTTTGACATTCGTTTAATTTATGTATGTTATAATTTGCAAAGTAATTTGATTTTCAGGGCATGGTAAGTTTGAGACTTTAGGCGCACTTGGAATTTCTGGCGTGCTTTTGGTAACGGCTGGGGGTATTGCATGGCATGCTTTGGATGTTTTAGTGGTATATATAAATATAATCTTGTTTTTCTTTTTTCTATATTAATCATTAATAATAATATATACATATTGCAGGGGGTACTGTACTCAGCAGCTTCTGATCAACATATTGCAGGTGGGGGGCATGGGCATGGGCATGGGATTGACATGAATCATCCTGTGCTAGCTTTGAATACTACTATTGTTGCAATTGCTGTTAAAGAAGGGTCTGTACTCGTACTCTATCTAATTCTAATAGATCACATCCCTTGAGAGATGTTTTCAGTTTATGAATTCAATGGTTGCAATGCACAGGTTGTATTGGATAACAAAGAGGGCAGGAGAGAGGTCTGGCAGTGGATTGATGAAAGCAAATGCATGGCATCATCGTGCAGATGCTGTTTCATCACTTGTTGCTCTTATAGGGGTTGGTAAGAAACATTAAGCACTTTGATTTAACATATGAAAAATGGGGTATTCATTCATTCATTCTTTCAGGTGGATCTATTCTTGGGGTGAGGTTTCTTGATCCCCTTGCTGGGCTTGTTGTCTCTGGCATGATACTAAAGGCTGGACTCCAAACTGGTTACCAGAGGTAATATTTAACAAATTGTACTGAGGACTAGAAACCTATTATTTATAAGAATCTTAATCCTTTGTCCAGTATTTTGGAGCTGGTGGATGCTGCAATACCATCTCATCATTTGGACCCAATCAGAAAGACAGTGTTACAAGTCAAAGGAGTGGAGGCAAGTTGACTTCATTTTGACCTGTTTGTTGTATACTTTTGGTCTGATATATATATATATATATATATATATATATATATATATAAAATACTATTACAGGGATGCAGACACATTAGGGGAAGGAGAGCTGGTTCATATCTGTATCTTGATGTAAAGATCCAGGTGACTTACCTACGATTTCATTTTACATACAATGATCGGGATTCTTTGTTTGATTGCATTGAAATTGAATTGCAGGTTGATCCCTTGTGTAGTGTGAGAACAGCACATGAAATTGGTGAAACTGTTCGTTACCAGATTCAGAATTGTCATCCTCAAGTCTCTGAAGTCTTCATACACTTGGGTATGTTACTTGATTATTGCATAATTTATAACTACACTAGGATTCATTTACTTGATGTTTGACTTTGCAGAGCCTAACAATAAACTTTTTCAACCTTCTACTACTCATGTTCATGTCCAGCAACAACAAGAAAATAGGATTGAAGAAATGATTACTAATATGCTCACTTCCAACTTCTCTCAGGTAATATTTATTTGTTGAGCCTTTTTTTCTATATGAAAGTAATGTTTCTAATTCTCTAATGGGTTCCAGAAAAATACATATCCAAATTCTAAATGCTTTATTTGTGAAAAAGCTCTACCAAAGAAAAAAAAACTCTCCTCAAGTGCTTGTAAGAAACATGGATTTGTTGTGTTGTCAATTAATTAATGGTATATTCTCAGAAAATGGTTGTGAAGCACGTAAAAAAACAGAAATTGCAAGCCAAGATTTTGGTCCAAATCGAGGTTTCCATGCCACAAGATAACACTATTAGGTATGATTTTTATTTCAATCAATTGCATAAATAATAATGGTAATTACTAATTACAAATTAATACTAGTTTTGTTGTGTTTTGCTGATTACAACAGTGATGCAATCAAAGTGGCAGAAGAAGCCAAGCGCCATATCTTGCAGTTGCAGGACACCTCCGACTCTAACCCTAACCCTAACCCTACCCCTACCCCTACCCCTACCCAGGTTCAGGTTACCTTCATCTTGCAACTTGCCTAATGAGTCCCCATGAAATGAATCGTCAATAAAGAACCAAATTTAGTTTCAATTTGTAACCAATGCCAGATCAGTTCAATGAAAAAAAGAGTCCATAAATTCCTATACACAACAGAATTACAAAACTGTTTGATTAAAATATGTACTTTTATTGTAAATTTTTTTACACAAGCAAAACAAATCACGATTATCATTCATTAACTTTTTTTACAATTAGAGTTGTTTTGCATTTATATTGATGACATAATAAATTTGGATTTGTGTAACATGATTATTGGTGTGTGGCGGTTGTTTCGACAATGGTAATGGTAAAAATGTGTTGTTCACTTCACCATTTAGATTTGCCACCCGACAATTTTTTTTTGCTGGGGTGGTGTTAAAGTAGGACACCGTTCAGTCTTTAACATCACTGTCTCAAGATAATTATCAACAGGGAAAAATAAAAAGTGGATCAGATTTCTGGCTTGGAATCTTCTAAAAATTTAGAAGAATATTTTAAATAGCGCACAGTATAATCAGCTTCGATCATCTGGGGAAATAATCATCATTTTCACCTTTTTATTCAACAGAATCTACAATTCTTATGAATCGAACAAAATTACCAAAAACACAAGTCAGGGATTAACTTGGTTAGTGCTTTACGAATACACCATCAAATATTTGTCGTCCACAAGTACTTTTCGACTTTAAAAAGGCATTTTGTTTAAAATACAAAAATTAAATGGACAAATTGGAAAATAGATGGATCAGATTTCTGGCTTGGATTCTCCGAAAAGGAGAATGTTTAAATAGCGCACAGTATAATCAGATTCGATCATCTGGGGAAATAATCATCACTTCCATCGCTTCCCTTTTTAAACCTAATAAATCAACTCTGGGAAATTTACTTTTATCTTTAAATACAAATCCAAAATCCAGAAGACGTTAAATAAATTATTAATAATAAAAACCAATAAACTTCACAACTCTTAAATTTAAGAAATACTAGAAACATAAGTTTAAACAGTTGATCAGATAATTGTAGTCTGGAAGTATTTTTAGATCGACATTATGTTTTCCGACAACTTGCTCATCACCTCAATGACAAAAATTAAAATCAATATACTAAATAAGATAATAAATAGTAGATGATGCTCAGAAGGATCCATTGGTAGTTTCTAATCACAAGGAGAAAATCAAGTTTTCCCTCATAAAATAGGTAGTTTTCAGCATCACTGCATCTCCACTTTTTTCTCTCCTTGGAGAGATTACTAACTAAAACAAAAAACGAGACGAAGCGAAGCGAAAGCATGTAACAAAAGAGCTACCTGGGCATCTGGTCAGCGATGCCGATGGCGATATAGAATGAATCGAAACGGTTGTGTGTATTTATTTATAGTGTAGCTTGTGTATATCTGCGGCGGCTGTAATGTGTATAGTGTGTTATGTGTACGCTAGGGCACAAAAGAAAAACCAAACTTATAGTTTATCACCTTCAAATATTAATGTTTACTTTATACGCCTCCTTTCATTTTTATGGTTAGGTACGTTTTAGTCCCATCAATATTTTCTATTTCAAAATCTCTTTAAAACCATAACATATTTTTCCTTGAAGACGTTATTGTTGAATATATCCAAATTTCTCATTATCTTTCCCATTAATATTTTTTCTCTAACTCGTCGTATGAAAAATGTTATCACTTAAAATTTAAATGGGATTTTTGAAAATTGAACGATCTTGAAACATAAACTTTTTCAACATATCATTAAGACATTTAATTGTATTTAAAAACTAGACGAATA